CCCCGACCCCGACCCCGACCCCGACCCCGGGGGAGGCTGGCGGGCAGCCCGGGCAGGGTGGCTGCGCGGTCCTGCAGCCCCCGGAGAGGCTCCCTGGCTTCACTGCCTGCTTTCTTCCCCAGCCGCAATCAAGCAGTCTGTAAACCCGGGTTTAGGCACAGCAGCTCGGGCAGCACCCGGCGGTGCGGCGTGGCACTGGGCAGGGTGCTGGCCTGGATGCCCCCCTTGGTAGTGAGCCGGGTCCGGAGCGCCGTGCCAGCGCACAGCCGAAAACCTCCCAGCAAATGGCTTATCTCTTCCCATTTGCACGTTTATTTTTTCTTTCCTCTCTCCTCTTGCTCTGGTTGGGAAAGGCTGTGGCTGAACTGTAAACACTGAAAACCGCGGCCCTTCTGTTGTAAAACCAGTTTAAACACCGGTCCGGGAATGTTTCCTTCTTCGGCAGTTAATGTTTGCTTAGGCTCTGCTTTCCATGCTGAGCCAAATGCAAGTCCATCACTTATTAGCCGGGAAGTAGATGCTGTTTCAAGAAAACAAAACTTTAAAAACAGCCCTGGGATTTTCCAGGCAGGCTTCTTCTCTCCCAGGGAAGTTTACAGAAGCCGCTTTGGAGAAAGCCTGTGTGACCTCCTCCTCCCCATGGAAACGGGGAGAGTGTCTGCTTTCAGAGGAGCTCTTTGTTAAGGCAGGAGGGGCCCAGACAGCATTTTAGCAGCGCCTGGATGGCTGCAAATTGCTTGTTTCCACATTTAGAGGCTGGTCCTATGAGACACGTTACTGTCCGCTCCCCATGCCTTCGTTGTGCACAGAAGCTCATTTCCTAGAGGCTGGGAGTTGCTTAACACCTTGTTGTCCCAAGAATTTTTTAGAGGGACATGTCCCTTGCTCTCTGCTGGCTTGGTTTTGCTCGTGGAGATCTCTCCTACAGGTGTGTTCTTCCTTATGAAAATCCAAAGAAGCAACCACCTGTGACTTTCCCCGCCCCCCCATATATTTCTGTGAACTGTGCTGTGAAGTAGCCACAGCTGTAGCATAAGTAACAGCCCACTCTCCTGCTCCCTTTCTGAAGTTTTCTCTCTTCTCCTTTATTTGATCAGGTGCCCTGGTGTAACCCTATGCATTTTCGGCCATATTTCCTTGTTTGCTGTCTTGGAGGTTCTCTGCATGACTCCCAAGGTTTCCTTTCCTTTCTATTATCTGGAGTCAGTAAGATGGGAAACATGGGGAGAAGGGTTTATTTGAACAGCAAACGCTCACAAAAAACCTTGCCAAGTCCTGGCTGGCTTTGCACATCCCACCATTACAAACCTGGACGCTCAGGGATTACAGGCAGGGGCTCAGCTCTGAAAAGTCCTGCTGGGTGGTGTATAAGTCCTAGGCTATCTGGCTAGAGCAGTGGGCAGATGCACTTTAAATATTCTTCTTCATTAGAGCTACTTGGAAAATGTTCCTTGGGATTTCTCTGTGTTTTTGCTAAACTGCTGTTCAGCAACTTCTGGAAGCTTTTTGCCTAGCTGCAACCAACCTTATTTCAGGTATGGACCTCCTCAGACAGATGAGTACAGGGCTGTAAATGATAGGACTTTCAGCTCTGATCGTGTTGCTTGTGTGAATTTGAGCAGAGAAATACAATGAAGCAGGGCAGAGTGCTGCTGGAAGGAAGTCGTACCGTTTGACACGTGGCACTTGTGATTGTAGGTGGTCACAGGTACCTCTGAGTTAATGGCCCGGGTATTTCGTCACATTCTCAGTAAAACAGAGTTTGTAAAGCCCACTTGAGCATGCTGGACCATTTCTCAGGTGAACTGCTAGCAGGGAGGTGGGTTGTGCATAGTTTCATCGTTGGTCGGGTCAGAAGGGACCTGAGCAGATCATCTAGTCCGACCCCCTGCCATGGCAGGAAAGAGTACTGGGTCAAACGAC